GCAGGTAATGCTTTTCTATCTTAGTTATTCATTTATTTATTATCATTATTATTATTATTATTATTATTTAATTTCTTCTGTAGATATAAAAATGAGTGGAATTAGTGTAAAATGGTGAAGCAGCGTAACGTAATAACTATTTTTTTATAATACGACGTAGACGTTCTAGGGGGCAATCAACGATTCTATGCACAAACCGGTCTAACAAGTTTCTCTATAACCTGCCTAGTGAGAGTAAGTACTATAGGCGGTTTGCATCCAGTTAGCTCAATGGATAGAGCGCTGGACTGTTGTGCGGGAGGTCTAGGGTTCGAGCCCCCGCCAAATACTCAAGGTCTTAAAACAAGTGAGAAGAATATGCTGCCTTTCTTTTTCAAGAAATGGTGAGATACTCTAGTCTTCTCGGATAGGGACGAATAAATGGAGGTCCCGTCTCCTGCAGGACTAGGGGTAGGAGACGTTAATTTCCCGCGCACAAGACTACTGTGTAATGGATGTCCTCCTCTGGGGTGGTTACTGGGTGGCAATTGGCCCTGAATAGCCCCCGTGGGGAATAGTCAATTAACATAACATATGTCTGTTTGCAACCAATCTCTAGAGACACAGGTAACAAGGGTGAAAGGAACAAATGCTGGTGGACTGTCAAAAGAGGCTAATGAAATATCTATTGTATACGTCCACCAACATGGCGGTGATGACGTAACGTGCAAACCACTTATTACTGGAAATTTTCAATCCCCGATTCATGAATTTGAAATTAAATTGATTTGATTTAAGTTAGATTTTTTTCATTCCCAAACAGGAGATAAAGTACGCGGAATTTCCTGCTTCAAAAGTTGCTTTGCGTAATTTGGGAAGTTCCACTAGGGGGTAGATATTGGGTTTGACCCCTAATGGCTTTAGATGTAGCCAGTAGACCTTCAGTATATACATTTCATCAATTAACTACCAGTCCAAATCTAGTTTAGGAAGGTATTAAAATTCAAAAGGAGATTCTCATTATAAAGTTTCTTTTAATTAACTTCAGGTGGCTTTTATCAAGATGAAATGGGTCAAGAAAGTTGTAAGAATTGTAGCACGGGTACATATGTTCCAGAATCGCGTCATCCAGGAAAATCTCCCACTGATTGTCTCGCATGTCCATATGGTGAGGATCATACCAAGGTTTACAAATGGGCAATAAGTAATATTGCAGATGCTTTTGAAACACACGCCGTTACAAAACTTTAAGTAGATAGTGCATTTCTGTACTTCCAATTCAACAAATCAAAGGCATTGGTATCTTTAGAGCTCTTGATGCCCAAACTTCATTGGGATTCCGTTGATGACATTATTACATTAATTCCGGCGAATAGTGCACAAGAACAGGCAATGCGCACCAAAACGGAATTGCGTTTCCTGTGATGTAGAAAATCAACTTTAACAGGTGTCCCCACTAAGTACCGGCCACTGACCGATGACCCGGCAGCTTAGCCCACAATATAAGCCCTGAATCACACATCCAGGTCACAAGAATAAAGGAAATAATGACCAAATAAAGAAATTCTTATTAAGCAAATTCTCCTGATCAACACCTTACGAAACGTATGGAGAATAGTATGGAGAAAACGCATGTTGATGTTGGGGTGTACACTTCATTTATGAGAGTCACTTTTCGCGCTGTAAATTAACTTTTCTTCCTTTTCATTGTTATAATTCATTTCTATTCTTTTGGGAGGATTTTTTAATTGCCTCGACAACGTGTAAATACCTAGAGCTTTGCGAGAAAAAGAGGTGAAACCTAGGGCTAAATCCTTTGGCTGCTTGAATTAGTTATACTCAAATCGTGGACCGTCTACCCGAAGCAGGGGATCGTCTTCTTCTGGCTATACTACCGAAAACCCTAATACTGGTTAATTTGATTCATGGATGCATTTTTCTTCTTCCCGACAGGAACCCAAACTAATCAGACAGCTGGTTACCGTGCTTGTAGATGTCTTCATAATTTCTACCGCTTGGATCGTTTCGGCCCTTGTATGCTATGCCCAGATCATGGAATGAACTGTAGAAACGACACAGCGATATTGGCTACGGGCTACTTTTGGAAGTGGAACAACACGGATATAATGGCAAAATACTCGGATTTTGTGACCAACACTCACATCGCTACAGCTGAATACGACAAGAACCTCAGTATATTTGAAGGAATGTTGCCAAAGCCCCTCAAGTGCCCCTATCCAGACTCCTGCAAAGGCGGAATCAACTCCTCTTGTAACGCAGGATATCAAGGTACTCTTTGTGCAACGTGCTCTAACAGCCACTATTTCCGATTTAACAGCTGCTTGCAATGTCCCAATATGTTAGTCACAATCATCTCGTGTATGATAATAGCTGTCGTCTTCGTCCTTCTTTTTGCCTCGGTTCATTGGGGAGACTCAAAACGTGCCCAACACGATCGTACCGTTGCGGATGTTATCATGTCTTGTGCCAAGATCGTGATTGGATTTTATCAGGTCCTTGCCGGTATTTATTCGTCATTGACACGGGTCCAGTGGCCCGTTGCACTTGTCTCCATGGAAAAAGTATTGAAGTT